GCATTCATAAGGAAGACTTCCTCGTTAAGAAAGAAGTATTTCAGAGTTTTATTTACATTATTGTTTTGAAAATCGACACAAGAACGTGGAACGGCAGTCCTTTTAAATTTTTGCAGTTTACTCTAAAATACGATTCCAGAACAAAGCTGCAGATACTGTAATATCAGTGCGAACTTTCCTCTCAATTGCTGAAAGTGTTATTTGTTGGGAGAAATAAAAATTACTTAAGAAGTATAAGAACTTCTTTAAGAACCACAATAATAATAATAATAATAATAAAACTACAAATGTATATTTTGCATTAAATAAACCTTCCATATGGTCTACATAGTGGACAATACAGAAGGTAGGCGCAATGGACTAGATCTCTACAGTGTTACTGAAGATTTTGAGAACAAAAAACTGGCAAAGTAATAATTTTAGTTGTAATTAAGTTTTTCCTTCAAAAATAGACGAAAAGCTTTAATTTATTTCCCTTAATGAAGTTTTGACATTTATTAATTATTTGCTTATAGTATATGGTATCGAAGGGCCTGGGTTTCATTAGAGGCTTAAGCCATTAATAAGAAGTTACTTTATTAGATTTATTTTACTGAATAAGCAGCAGCTGTGAGCTGTTAGTTGCTATCGAGCTGAAGCAAAAGAACGTTTGAAATTATGAAAGAGTTTTATTTCGCTGAACGACAGTAAACTGAAACTCTGTTTCACTAAATCTGTCTGAAAAAGAGACTGCTTATAGATCAAATACTTTAATATGGAACTCGCCTGTTTGCAGCTACTATGAAATAATAACAGTGAAAAATTATAACTGACAACTTCGTTTTACAGTACAATACCTCGATGAAGAGCTTATCTTTAAAAATACTAGAAAATTTAAATATTTTTAATATAAATTAATATTAAATATTTATAGTTAAAATAAAAAATAATTAAAAAATTTTGGTATTTATCTCTACATATATACATACGCACATTTTTTTTCGGACACTAGTGTTTTATCTGAGAATACCAGTTGCTATAAATACCAATAAAATAACTTCATTTTTCTTTCATATGTACTACTGATCCTCTTTTTTTAAGGCCTTCTTGTTTTCGGAAGAGTTATTCAAAATGCTTTTAAACAGTTCAAAATGAAAAAAAAAAGGATATTTAATATTTCGTTGGAAAACCTTTTACTAAAATGATACTTTTCACTGCTCTGGCACTCATTCAACCAACATTTTCGAGTAAGAATGCTCCACCTTATCCCATTCCTCCATAATAATAATTGCTTTTAGTGGAGCTTTCAAAGAAATATTATGTTTCTTTATTCTTTTTTCCAACTCACTCCTGATGCTCGACAGAATTTAAAGCCAAAGAATATAGAGGAATTTTGATAACTTCAGTTGCATTATAATCACAAGCAACATTTAGGTCGTTAAGTTAAAGATTGTCATCCTGACAGATGTTGAACGTATGTATGCCTTTCACATACCTTATATTTTATACCACATACCTTCTACTTATGTCACTCCAACGGTATAATGGTTAGGGGAATGGTTAGGTCCCGGGTTCGAATTCAGAAGAAGTCTTGGATGTTTGTAAATGTGTAGCGTTCTTTGCTGCATGGCGGCAGTCTAAATATACGGCGAGCCAAAAAGTCCGCTCATGTGAATTGGTGGAAGGGAATAGGGGCAGGGGTAGGCGACCCTCAGACCACAGTCCTGGGGTGCTCTTCCTCAAAATTTAGGTGGAAGTAGAAGTCCAAACTTATTGAGGCTCTGACAACCAATTCTTCCGTGCAATTCATAGATAAAACCGCAACAACTTTCTACCTATCTCCACGATTTTTTATAAAAACTAAATTTCCAATCCCACGGGCAGCGAAGCATTCCCAAACCACTTGTGTTGTGTGACCGATCCCGCTACAGAAAGCACCTGTTGTAATGCAGAGTTGAAATAAGTTCTCAAATGAAGTTATGAACAACAACATGAACAATTACGAGATATCTATTTATTTATAATGTTGAATGCTTGTGTTCCTGTATTTTAATTTTTCCGTAGCTTTCTCTTCAAATAAGTCTCGTGCTGATTATTGCACGGGGATATAAAACAATTTTAATTAATTCTACTAAAAATAGCTAAAAAATACAAAATCCGTAACAATAAATTACACGCTTCCTTATAAGTCACTTTTTATGCTGATTAATACAAGTAGTTGTATTATTGACGTAGGTTTCTCAGAATGAGAAACGTAAAAATTATTACGTTATTTGAGTACATCCGGCCTATATGCCTAAGGCAGGTTGCTTTTATGGAGTTAAAACGTTACACATGGGGGAAAAAACGAAAATCAATCGTTGGGTCGGGCCGTTTACCTGGGATCTAACTCTGTTGAACTTAACAGCATTCAGGGTTCCGAAGCGACTTGGTCCCTCATGGAGTGAAGAACGAGAAAAATCAACTGTGTCATCATTGGGAACAAACAGAGCCTCGTATCCTTCGATATGAGAATTCAATATGCTAACCACTACGCCACATGGGCACAAATGAGGAGAATACTATAATTCCTTATAATACTTAAATCGAATTCAATATTTGTTAATTCGAATCCTTCTATGAATGTTATATTATTGTTGATAACTTCAACAGTGTTAAACTAGAAATAAATTTACTTTATTTCATATTGATCGAGTATATTTACTAAGCAACTATAAAGACTCAATATTGAATGACCTAAAATTAGCAAACATGCTACATGCAGCTGTAGTAAAATGAAAATTAATGTTTGCTTTATTTATAGAGGACATGTATAAGTTCACAATAAATATTACTACTTTCAAACACATATGAGCGCATAAAGTTTATCTTTTGCTATACTCTTTGACTATAAGAATACTCTTTAATTATACTTTTGGAACTTTTTTTTTTACTTTGCACGTAGTAAAGGAAATGTTCCAATCGCTAAAAATTTCGGGTATTATATTTCAATAAAATATCCATGTTGATAGCTACCGAATCCATTTAAACGATGTTTTTGCGTGACATCTGTACATACGAAGAGAATAGCGAACTATTTCTTCCAAAACAGATTAACAGATTATTAAATGGATTTAAAATGGATTCAGAAGAGAATTTTTTGGTGATGTCTGTACGTACGTACGTATCCCACATAACTCCAAAATGTAATTCACTTTTTCTTTGCAATTCACCACACCAAACGTGTATATATATATATATATATATATGTATTGCCACTCTGTTACACGGCTCAATGAACTGTTTTTTTATTCTTATACGTTGGTAAAGTGTGCATTTTTTGCTTTAAAAGTTGTTGGATTATATTGTTCTTATGTTCCGATTAAGATTTTTATGGCTTTAATTAATCTACATGCAATAGTTGTAGAACCATGAACAATTTAAAAGTGCTGTTAAGCCTAACAAGGTCGCCATTCGTTTAAATTTAAACCCCTAGTAGAACAGTGAATTACGTCAGTTGTAGCACCAATATCGGTGTCTTTTCCTCCCAGTGAGAGACTGGCAGTTAAACTTTCAATTTTGTGCACCGAAAATTTTGTCTTGCTGCTTGCTGGCCGAATTGCTTGTTTTTTTTTTTCCTAGAGACTTCATTTTAATTCTAAAAATAGTTTTTTTAACTGTTTTACAGTATTTGGTGTTTTAACTTTTTCTCTTGTAGCATGATTGCGAGAACTTTAGGTGATTAAATTAGAAATACATCTCTATCGAAAATTCGAGGACATAAGTTTAAATGAAGTGCAGCAAAAGATGTGTATAATTCTATAGGCCATAGAAGGAAGACGTAGTGTCCACATCATATACTTTATTCTGGGGCCCATGCACTTCTTGAGGATCTGCGCATTACATATAAAGAGTTTATTAAACTGGCAGGATAGTAAGAATTGTTTTATTTAACAATGCATTAGTAACGAAGATAACACAACTCTCTTTCGAAAATATGTGAAAGTAGTGATTGAAAAAGCAGAGCAAGAAACAAATTATGGATCTAAGAATCTATATCTTTCAGAATGGCCCATAACACAAGAGATTTAAACAACACAAATGCAAACAAAAACACGAGTCACTTTTAAAATTTTGAACTATCTTGTTAAACATTTAAGACTAAATTCGAAATCTCTAAAGTCATTTGATAGCAGAACAAATTCTGGTTTGTAAATAAAGAACGCAATAATAATAATAATAATTCGACGAAAAATTTTATAGAAAATGTCTAAAGTCTGAAAATGTCTTTAAGCATTCAATGGGAAGATGGTAAAAAAATTAGATTCATAAATAGAACTTAAAGGTAAAAAAATCTACAGTCAGTCGTAAATGTGAATGAAAATAGTAATATTTCCCCATAAAACTCGAAACATACTGGGATCAACTAATCTACATATGAAATATACAAACAAATTAACGTACAAACATATCAATGAACTTTTGAAAAACATACGAACCTTTGAAAAATATAATTAACATAGTTCAAAAATCAACAAATAAAACAGGCTATTTGAAACATTTGCATAAATTTTAAATAGCATTTCCTAATTAAGACACAATAACACGCCGAATAAATACTAATTCAGAAGTCAAACAACAAAAATCAGCGTTAATTTACAAAATTTTCACAGGACTAGTTTCGATGGTTTTACCGAACCATCATCTTCAGCTGCAAAACCGCAAATGAACAAGATTTCCCATCTTGTTCCCATCTATTTATTATCCCAATCTATTTATTATCCCATCTATTTATTATCCCATCTATTATCCCAATTATTTCCCATCTTGTTCATTTGCGGTTTTGCAGCTGAAGATGATGGTTCGGAAAACCATCGAAACTAGTCCTGTGAAAATTTTGTAAATTAACGCTGATTTTTGTTGTTTGACTTCTGAATTAGCATTTTCTAAATTAAAATAAATTCAATAAAATTGTACTTCACATGCAAAATGTTAATTTAAGATAAATAAAATGCCATTAAAAAATACAAAACGGAACTCACTTCAGCAAACATTTTACTCCCTCCAAACTGTATTTGACATTCCTTCTTTCCGTGTTGGGTTCAGGGATTAAATCTCTTAACTTCGGATATTGCTTGCGAATATTTTTCAAAGCTTTCATATCAGCCATGAACTCAGCAAAATCCTCTCCATTAGAAGATGATAATTCGATGCTTACTGTTAAATTCTTTGAAGACTTCGTAGAAGCTGTAGCCTTTGAAATAAAGGCCTCTCCATTAGAGGATGATAATTGGATGCTTACTGTTGAATTCTTTGCAGACTTCGAAGAAGTTGTAGCATTTGAAATCCTGTTTGCAAAAGGATTTTCTCTTTTAACATTTTCTTTTATAACTGGTTTTTGTTTTTGTACATTAACATGCGTTTCTCTTTGTACATTAACATATTTTATTTTTTGTTCGTTTGCACTGCTAGATTTATTGCTGAAATATGTTTTTTGCAGCAGACTTTGATCGCGATGGATATTCCTATGATACCTGTGCACAGGATATTTGTAATCTACTTTTGATCTATCTCCTTTCCTCAAAAGAGAAGACACACTTAATGATCTTCCTTGAGGATTTGTGTAAGTATTTCTATCACGGTTTCTTTTGGATGATTCATCATCTAAGCCTGTTTTCTTTGGAACTGAACATGCCTGTAGCAGAAACTCTTTCGTTCTAGACGCGAGCAAACTAACATTTGAGGAAGTTTCGGAAGTGCAAACACCATTTCCCGAATTTTTTTTCGGAGATTCATGAATCGGAACGTTTAATTTTACATCTACGAATTCAACATCATCATCTTTGCACCATAATCCAAGACAGCTGGCAGAAATTATTTGAGTTTTCTTAGGACGCGGGGCCGGGTACGAGTCGTCATTTTCATTGTTGGTCCAGTCCCAAAGCAATTTGCGGTGGATCTTTTCATTTTTCGTTTTAGCGCAGCGATCGAACTTGGAAAGCGCATCCAAAACTGCGTCACCCATTTGAGATTCCCGCTGTTTTGCTTCCGAGCTCGAATTCATGTCGATCGACCGTAAAAAGACTCTCTTTTTTCCGATCCCGATCTCTTTTCACCGCCTGACTGCAGCCTGCCGTGACTGCAAATGAGAACTAAAACTAATCGAAAAATATTCAGATATGACGTCAGAGCACGTGATATTTTATCGTGTATGCTGTTGCGTCGTAAAAAATTCACGAATGAAGCTGGTAATCAGTAACTCTCGATAATTTGTATTACATTAGTTTTAGTTCACTTTGTCGGCTCGTCATGTCACCGACTTTCTCCCTAATTTCCTTCTTCTGTAAAATAAAAAACATATAGACATAGTATGTTGCAATTTACAAAGAAAAATACGTAACTTTGAACTTGAACTGGAGTAACTTGAAAGCGTCCTAGATAAATCGGTAGACGTGGAGAATGCAAAGTCAACACAATACAGCAGCGCGAAATGGCGTTTTGAATCTTATGACATCATGACATACCCTCTCATTAATGGAGAAACTTACAGGCAGCAACATCACCAGAAGTATTTTCACTCTCGGTCCAGTGTGTGCGTTCCACAAATAATAAAAGTTAGCTTAGTAGTAATAACGTAAGGTATACTTACTATACTACAAGGTATGCTGATTAACTTAAATAATAATTCATTTCCTTAAACATCATTTTGTCTCTCCCCAATCTCACCAGTATTGTTTCATTTCATTATTGCTCCTTTCTGGATCATTTGATATCGCTTTGATTTTTCGATCATTTGATATCACTAATAAATTTTTAATAAACTCCTAACAATTTTCTTTGCATTGTATAATTACTAATCACCAGCCCGAACAGCTTCCTATTGAAAACATTATTTTGAACCTTGTGCTACTACTTGATATTTTAAACTTATTGCTTGTATACTATGTAAGTTTTTCATTGTAACTTTTTGACTTCCATTACCGGTATTAATTCCAAGGGTAAGTTGCAGAATTGTCATAACTGGCCTGGTGATTTGACATGTTTTTCATATTTATTTTTTTCTTGGATATCATAATTTATTTTATAATTGAGCTACAGGACCTCTCATATTTACTAAGTGTCAGTAACACAAATAAACGGCCGGATCTTACTCATCAGCCAGAAAAACCTCAATGTTATTGATGCAGTTAGCAGTCATGATTTGTGATTGCAAAATTGTAACGACATCCTAATCAGAAGTGCTGGATTAAATTCAAACACAAACGTTCGTAAAGATTCGTGATTCTGATACTTTTAAGTTGAGGCTCCTGATCTTAATAGCATTTGGCAACTGGCGTAAATATCATTATGAGTTTTATCAAACGTATCGTAAATACTCTTATGGCCTTTATGTAAACGTACCGTAAATGTTCTTATGACCCTTATGCAGGAGTACCGTAAAATTCCTTCCGGTAGATAACAACCATGAATATGAGGATGCCTTGTCAACAGCATCATATAAATATTATGTTTTCTTACTAAAAGGTCCTTTACAAACCTTTTTAGCCAAAGACACGCCCTTTTTAGCCCAAAAGGGCTATTAGTCTCGAAACAGCATTTTGCGCCTGTTCACTAAAAATGTCCGTTTCACTTTTGAAAAATTATTACCACCAGATATTATCGCCCTGTATTATATTTTAAGAAATTAAATAATGAAGAATCTGCATAAATTTATGTATGTTTCTTGCATTGTGAAAAAACAACGGTACCTAGAACCATCCAATTTTGAAATGTAGTCCTGCATCTGAACATCGGCACCTGGAAGCCCGAATTTAGAATTAGGAATTTGTTTTATTATCTGTTTCACATTTTGTAAAACTTAAACAACCTTTTTATTAAAAAGTCAAACATTTCAAAGAGAGCAGTAGCAACACTGTAGGGAATAAAATATTTTTATCATTAGCGCGAGACTGCCTATCGAAAATTCTAAAGATACGCTATTTTTAAATACTTTTATCCCAAAGGAGCATTAGTCCAAAAGCTCTAGAAACGTGTATGTGTGTGTAGGTGAAAAAAACGCCGGTTTGGTGGGGGTAATATGAAATCTGAAAGCTTTCTTTTGTCTTTTTATTATTAAGGTGTTTGTGTGTTTATTTATAAAGCATCATATGATACGTTTTTATGAGTATTTGGCCTATGGGTACCCGTACAGTTATACGGGTTTCTGTTTATGGATTTTTACGGGGATTTGGCCTACGGGCCAATACGGGGCCCGTACAACAGCACGGGTTTCTTTTTATGGGTTTTTACGGGGATTTGGCCTACGAATACTCGTTCAGCTGTACGGGTTTCTTTCTATGGGTTTTTACGGGGATTTGGCCTACCTATAGAGCTGTACGGGTTTCTACGGGGCATTTTTAGCAGGGATGTTATTGGCGCTTACACCGCATAAAATTCGATTCAACAGCAAAATCGCAAAATATTTAGAAATGCCATACCCTTAGAATTTCCGATAGACAGTCTCTCGCGCTGGAGATAAAATATATTTTCCGTGCAGTGCTGCCACTGCTCGCTTTGAAATCGTTGAGTTGTTAATCAAAAGTTCATTAAAGTTTTACAAAATATGAAATAGATAATAAAACAAATTCGACATTCACAATTCGGGCTTCCGGGTACCTATGTTCGGGTGGAGGATTGCGTTATTCAAAACTGGATGGCTCTAGGTACTGCTGTTTTTTCACAATGCGAAAAACATTCGTACACTTATGCCGATTCTTCATTATTTAATTTTTTTAAATATAATACAGGACGATAATATTTAGTGACAACAATTTGAAAACTGGTACGTCGTTTATAGTGATTCAACGCAAAACGCCGTTTTGAGACATCCCACATCCCATTCGGGACTGATGTTCCTCTTAGGCTTTAAAAAAAAAAAAAAAAAAAAAAAAAAAAAACACCCTAGGTTAAATTTTGGATTGTTAATTTTGTAATTTTGCATTATTTCAATCTTACCTCTGTAATTTAATTGTAATGAATAAGAACTTTTGAACTTATTCTCTTTTTCCCAGTCCCCTTCTGTCACTCTGATTTAAAATGTAGTGCACGAATTCGCTCATATATTTGGCTCAGCAGCGGCCGAGCATTCAAGTCTCTGAATACGCGCTTGTATTTTTTTACAACACAAAATACATAGAAACCTTAAAAAAAAAATGTATAAAAAGATGAAGTATAAATTAATATCTTTTTTTTAAATTACTGTATTTGAAAATACACTGAATTAGTGAGTTATTTCATTAAGCACACTGTAAAAAAAAAAGTTCGCTCTTTACAGGCAAAAGTTTTGTAAAGTTACAGAAATCAAAAAGTTACAGAAGAATTTCCTGTAATGGTAAAAGGTTGAAATCAAACTGTAGGGGTAACAGCTGATTTGCTTGTAACATTACAGATAATGTTTCAGTAGCCGCGCAGAAGAATCACGTGACTGACTGGAAATTAGCCAATCAGGAAAAAAGTGTTTGAAAGCTAGTTGCAGAAAAAAACATGGCTCAATGCATGTTGGTTGCATGGCGCAGGTAAGTAAGAAAATGTTTACAATTACTGCTTGAAATATTTTTTGTTCATTTTATGCAAATTATTCTCATGCACTTTGCACTGTTATATGTAGTGAGTAAGTATTTAAAACGTTTAAGCTTTGCGATTAATTAATATCAGTGTTCGTAATGTCTAATGAGTTGAAAGAATGCAAAATATTTATTCCAAATGCAGATCTAATAGTAGTATTTTGTCATTGTGCATCCGATAAATTACGCCTTAAATTGCCCGTATTATTATTTAAAACTAATTATTCCAAAATTTATTTAATCACTGTTTGTGGTATATAATTGAAATGGTAATGTGGCTGTTGAAAAACAAAACTAATCATTTTAGCGTTCTTTTCCAATCGTCTGACCAAAGAAACGTTTGACATCTTTTTCCCGGCAGGCCTTGCGAGAAACGTTTACATAAACATTTAGAATCTGAATGTAATGTATATTTTTTTGCTTACTAGGTTTAGTTATTCTTTTTCTAGGATTATCTAATTAGTTATACCTGGTTTATAATTCAGTCTAATATGTTTATGTACGAGTGTGGTTATGAAGTAAAATTACAAAAACTTGAACAACGCGGTCGAGAATCTCGTTTATTCCTTTAGTGTAATAATATTCTTTTCAGTGGTATTAATTTCTTACGAAAATATAATTCCAAAATGAAGTAATTATATTGATTAAAAATATGCCGTATCATACTTTTCGTAATGTTTTGTTTTAATAACTAGATGCAACTTAATTATTCCATATATTTTAATATACTAATATCAACAGGGGAAAAAAAATGGAAATGACCTAAAATATTTTTCTAACAATTCGTTAAACTAATTATAAAACAAAACTAAAATTTTGTGCATTATTTCCAAAAATATCATTTCATTAATATTTTATAAATGACAACATATATTATATTGTATATATAAACTACCATTGCATACTTATAAGTTTTAAACATTTAATGTAGAATTTATGTTGATTTTATTTTGCCCAGTTTTAATACAGTTTTGAAGTATGATAGTCTTGTTACTAGGAAAGCATGAATCTGCTAATACAAGTTTAATACTTTCTTGACAAATGTTTCTCTTATTCATGTAATATAATATATAAATCATAAAATAAGTTTTCTTAAAAATAAATTATTATTGTTTATTGGAATTTCAAAACAATTCTGTATCTGTATGTTAGTATTAAAAATAAAATAAGAATGAATTTTTAATGAAGCCATTGATTTTAGCATTAACAATTGTAAATATATATACACACATGAATAAATGGAAATGCAAGCTACTTTTCCTTTACAAAACCGTCCATGAATATATACTTCCCTTTATGCTGATAGCCTTTGCATGCTTTGCCATATTCTGTCAATCCAAATGATGCAAATATGCAGAAAATTTTACTTTCTTTGTAAAAGTTAATACAGGAAATAAAATTCAGTGCATTTGTAAACCTACTTTAGTTCTCTTATAGCTTGGCATTTAATTTTACCCAATGATTATTTACTAGTCCAAACTAAGGCAGAATTCAGATATCATTCAAATAAAAGAAAATTAAT